TCTTGGCAGCGCGCCAAGGCACCCGGCCGTTTTAACCCTTTGCTTTATTTCTTATGTCTCCTAATTGTCTTTTATTTATATTAAATTCTTTTTATAATTTATTAAGTGAATCTCGTTTTTAAGACTCCAGATGGTCAGATGAGGGTCCCGGTCGCAGCCTCCTGGATTGCTTCTTGCTAGAACGCAAGCAAGCTTCCTCAAGGTGGGGCGGCTCAAACGGCGGCTCGCCTCGCAGCTAAAACTGCGAGTGGACGCTTTTTCAGGGCTTCTTCAAAGCCCCCACGTTCGGGTCGCCAGTTGCCACGGCGACAGAAAGCCCGGAGCACCGCGACTTCTCTAGACACAGCCTTGAGAAAGGCTGGCCCGAAGCACGTGTGAGCAGCTTCGAGCAGTCGAGTGATTCCAGCTCAGCTCAGTAATAGTATAGTGATTTCAGCTCAGCTCAGCTTGGCTCAGCGGCAGCGGCGGGCAGGCAACACAAGAAGCAGGGACGAGATAGCTGGTCCAGCGTTCCACCGAGGCACAAGCCTTTATTCAGGCAGAGCTTCAGCGAAGGGTGCAGGTAACAGCGAATCTGCCAAACAGGGGAAAACCCGGGATATTTATGGGGAAGGAGAGGGGCGGGGGGAAGCCTGAGATACCTGTATCGGGGTGGGACAGCAGGGGAGAACACCAATGAAACACATCAGTTTAACATATCTAACTCAAAGACCCCTGTGAGCGACACATTGTGTCTCTCTCACAGAGAAGTACCTCCTCTCCAGGGGAGAGCCAGGATCTCAGGCCCAGTGGGCCCCTCCGTACCCACACTTGAGTCCGAACTGAAGTGTATGAGGTGAGTAGCACCTGAAAGGGACCTTCAAATTTAGGGGTTAGCGGAATGTTGTTCCATGATTTTATTAAAACCCAGTCCCCAGGTTTAATCTGGTATGTATTGGAGTCTAAGGGTGAAGTCTGAGGCAGGTACCCTCTCTTTCTTAATTCTTCCAGTGTTTTCCCAATAGTTTTTAGGTAGTTCTGGGTTACATTTTCCCCTTCCAAATAATTCCCCGTGCTGTAGGGGGTTATTAGAAATGGTAACTCAAACATAATTTCATAAGGGGAGGCTCCTATATCTGACCTGGGTCAGGTTCGGATTCACAGGAGGGCAAGGGGCAAACATTTAAGCCAGTTCATTTGAGTTTCAGTAAAAACCTTGGTAAGCACATTTTTAAGAGTTTTGTTCATTCTTTCTACTTTTCTCAAACTTTGTGGGTGCCATGGGGTATGTAATCTCCACTTTATTCCTAAAGCTTCGATTACTTTGTGTAGAATTTGGGCAACAAAGTGGGAGCCTCTATCAGAATCAATGTTGTTAACCAACCCATATTGAGGAATGATTTGTTCTAACAAAATCTTTACAATGACCTCTGTGGTTTCTTTTCTAGTGGGAAAGGCCTCCACCCAACAGGTAAGATGGTCTATTTTTACTAGTATTTTCCTGTAGTTTTGGATGGGTGTCATTTCAGTGAAGTCAACTTGAATATTTTGAAACAGCCTTAATGCCAATTCCCTTCCGCCGGGTGTGGTTTTTCTCATTACTTTTTGGTTCACTTTTTTGGCAGATTGAGCACCCCCGGGTTATTGATTTTGCTAACTCATATACCCCAATGCACAGATATTCTCTTAGAAAGTGATCACAAAGTCCCTGGACTCCCCAGTGAGTTAACTCATG